AATCCAGGTAAATCCAGCGAAACATATGTGCGTTTAAGACGAGACACACCATACCTCCCTAAAGGGTAATTAAAGGTAAATGTTAGGTTATTGATGTCCCACGGCGTTCTTCAAAAGCTGAGTGGGATCTACGGTTAATGATCACGAAGAAGACAGGCATCAACCACATGAAAGCATGTTCTGCGGCAAGGAGCATGTTTGGTGTGATTTGTTGTTCGTTTGATGGTTTTTCGATCTTATCCATCAGGAAATTGTTCGCTTCCCATGTTTGTTCACGGTTTTAATATTGTTTAACCCGCTGTATACTCCTTCATGCTTTCCTAAACGGCTAACTTAGAACGGCTGCAGCCCCACGGTACTCGAATAATTGTGGGATCGGGTATGAGGGTTGGCTTTAAACCCTAGAAATGTTCCCAGTTAGTTACAGAAGATTCCATGGCGAGTTAGTATATATGTGAAAGATTCTTCGGGCTGATCTAGGACCGGAGATACCCAATAATTTCACTGTGAAACTCCAAACGGACGCTCATTTGATTATATCCAGTTTCCACAGCTCAAAAGGTGAATCCCTCGGGTGATGCTTTTCATCACAACTGGAACGGAAATTGTTGCCAGTTCTGCTGTAATATATCATATGAGAAAACACTAACGTATTACCGTCGTGCTAACTGGAGGTTATGCAACACCCACACGAGCTGTAACCCCTGTGTTATTGTATATGTCACTGTCGAAGTCTAATGGTACCTTGGTTACTGTGGATGTCAAGTGCAATTCATCAGATTCACAAATTGATTCATAATTAATTGATCGATGGCGTCAAATTCCAAACTTTGCCTTCGTGCTTGCAAAAGCTGCAGTAAATTGGAATAAAGAACACATCTGTTGACGATTGCGTCAAATTACCAAGAATGTCCCTCAGCCGTATATGTAAACTGCGAAATACAGTAAGCCAATGAAGGATGATTCATAATCCTAGTGGTATCCTTATATGTGAAGGTTTATGGGCAATGGTGGTCTTAATTACGTAGGCCAGTACAAAATGCACACTATTACCACCTGACACAAATACAGCCTTCAAACACTTATATTTTGAGGTGCATCGGACATGTAATTTAATGGACTGAATATAAGGGGCGCACGCCTAAGCTTTCGGCAGTCACTCGGCATAGCGGGAAAAAGTCGACAAACTTACTTCAGAGTGATGCTGGTCACGCTGACAGACAGCCTCACCTTGATAGAAAAAGCACAACAGATGTCTATCAAAGTAGGGCAAGATTCACGAGTTTCATTTTTATATGAATTAGTCGATTACCTTATTTGTTACATAATGATATTGTTTACCTGATATTTACGGTAGAGATGTCAAACGTAGATTGGTTTGCGTGCTTTCAGACCATGATTGATCTTATAATGGACATTATACACATTGTGACTTACATTGCATATCAACCGGTTGCAAAATTGTTTTATAGAAAATTATTCATGACGTCTGACATCACCACAAATATATTCAGGTATTTTAATTCACATAAAATGTTTTCGCGTACCAATGTAAGGCTCATTAGTGTATGTAGTGTTTGATTTTTAGCCGCAAATAAGTCTTGAAAATGGTCATCACTGAGTTCCAAAGTACCCTGCGAACTTAAATGAGATTATAGTTATGAAATAATAATCTTCTCAACCATTGAACTTTTGTTATTCCTTGATTATTTCATACATTGAAACCTCAAGCTGTAGTTATGGACACAGTCGATCAATAAGCTTGCAATGGACGATAAATGTTTCGTCTGCTTGCCCCTCGAGAAAGGTTACCAATACTTCAACGGGATCTTGACATTATCCAAGCTAATTAGGCCCAAGGAAGACCGGTTATGCAGGAAAGATAGATGGAAGGTTAACAACGACCAACAATAAGACTCAGAGAACACTTAAGTGCCGGAGCACTGACGGAAAACAGCTACTTGGGAAGATTGTCCTGCAAAGAGTTGTGACATCAATAAAGAAGGCTACATTAATATGACTTTTTAAAGTCTAAGATGTTATTCTTGGTTCTTCGTAGTGATTTATGAAGTTCAAATTCCGGAGCAAACTGGAGGCACAAATTGCAACGCTATGCTTACAAGGCAACCTGGAATAAGTGAGCGAATCACGGAGTTCATTTGTTCGGAAAACGCTATTACCTTGAGTTCTGTTGGCTAAATTGACTTAAGGCGACAGCTTTACATCTGCAGTGAGCTGGCCACTACCCAGTGAATTAGCGGGATGGGCGGCTCACTTATGCGAGATTCAAAAAGACCATTAGATTTTCAGACGATTGAAAGATATCTATAGTAGTTGCGTTACACAGGTCAGGTTGCAAACAGAAGGTCTACAGGTCACGGAGTGAACATTTATTAATGGGATTTCAGCCGAGCTTATAAATGTGTCATTCGCAGATTGTTAGATCTGAAGGCACTGGGGATATCGGGTAGGGAATGAAATAAATGGTGCAGTTTTTCAACTCTTGCACATTCAGTGTGACACATGAAAATGATAACAGAAAATCTTTAGAAATAACTAGTAACGATGCCCATGTTACTTTTTGTATTGTATAGTACTGTGTATAACTTTTGCAAGCACCGAAGCTGACATTTCAGTTAGGAAATCATACACGCTAACCGTCACAATGTATATAACATAATATGAAAAATCTTGTACAGATATGAGGATATTTCATAACCCAAGGTTAAGACGAAGTTTACTTATTGTCCGCTCTTTGTTTATAAGCACATGAGCAAGATATGGTATAGTTGAATTGCGCTAAGCGTAAATTGCAAGATAAAATTTGACGGAGTTGGGAGCGTGTTGAATTATGGAAACAACATCGTGTCAGTTCTGCCTGCAATGGATGGTCAGGATCTGTGAGAATCCTCCCCGCAAATTTCACACAGGAAGTTTATCGTCTTGATTCAAAGTCGAAGAAATAGCCGTTCCGTATAGTCTTTATCATTCACCATCAGAGAATCCTTACACTGCTGCATGGCTGTCTGTGCCTTGTATCTTTGAATTTTCCTGTGCAATGGCATTTGAAACTTGCATCGCTTGAGTGTTCCGCTATTTATGATCGTACCAATTTCCAAAGGATTGTTAGCCTTCTCTGGCAGCTAGAAATCATTATCAATCCGACGGATTGTAGTTTAGTGTTTAGTGAACCCAAAATGATCTTGCAGCGCATACAATTCCGATCTGGCTAGTCCCCCAGAAGTTGACGCAAATTACTGATGTCACATCTAGTGACGTAGTAGACCCTGCACAAAAAGGTACCGAGTTTCGGCAAAGGGAGTTTGTTTGCTTTGCTGAACTCCACATACACAATATCCCTACCATGTCCATTAGCTTGACATTCTACCCATCATTCTCGATCAAGCGAAAGATTGAAAATGCATGCTTCTGTTGTTCTGTAGCGAACAATCGATAACCTCTTTAGTGTTAATGGAGGCAAGAAGCCAGTAGACGTTCCATAAACTTACACGCACTGGCGGTCAGGCAAACCAACCTAAGGTTACACTTCCGGGATGAAGACTGATATCGCAAATTTCTGACAGATGGTCTCAGTGTATATGCAGGTGAACAGTGATCTGTTAGTGTCTTTCTTTCATCTCTCTCAGCTTATAAGATGTATTTATCTACTTATGAGGGAGAGGTTTGGATACCCCACTAGTTCTACGCTGCAGGCATGCGAATATGCGTTCCAAGCTTTTGCAGAATTTCTCGTACTTTGATTGCTTGGCCTTTTTCATAGAAAAAAAATTGCAAACCGTTTTGGGAGCGATGTCCGTCACCGCTGAATATGAAATATGCTCGAGCTCTAGGTTTTCTTCCTAGACCCAGGTGAAGCTATTCACCGAACTAAATAAGACCCCTAGCACGGTATGTGAGAAGCACTGCCATGGCAAATGCGTCTATAAGGTCATTTGACCCATCTCTGATGACAATCTCTAGCATGTATTTGTGTAAAAAACTTGAAGTGGGGCGGAGTTGTCTGACACTTTTCATCAAGCAGAAAAAATTGCAGTTTGATTCTTTGTATGATCCTAGCAGACACTTATTTATTCGTTTTAGATGCTTTCGTACCGTGACACGTTTGGCACGCAGGATCGATTCAAACTGGTAGGATGTACATAATCTTTCTGAAAATATATCTTTCCGTACCTTAGTTCATGGTTTCCTCAATGTTACTCGTGTCAGATATCTCAAATGATCACTGATTATAGCTCTTGGTTATCCCTTTCAGATATTAGCACTCCTTGACGGGCATTCACCAAGATATACCTATTTTACGTCATTGCTGTTCATTGCGGAGAAGAAACGTTATGATGCTCACAAAAGG